CATTGCCTTGAGTAGTTCTGAATAAATACCCTTCCCTCTGATTTGAAAGAAGCTACTCACTACCCTACACTATGGGTAGCCATATACTTCTGAGAGCAAAAGAAGGCACTGTTAATAATTATGCTGGGGCAGCAGGTGGAAACTGGGACCGTCCTCTGCAAAGCAGGCAGTTGGTCACTGTAAGCATATAGTTTGTTGGCCCAGTTAGTTCCAGCCCCCAAGTGGAATGGACACTTCTCCTCTGCAGCCAATCATCTGATTTGGAAGCTAGGAGGATGGTCTTGGAAGTCAAAACAGAGGTCTTCAAACTTTACTCACTGGCATTGTTTTCTAACCCTCAGGTCTGTTTTTCCAGTTTACAACTTGGAGGCCCCTTAGCTCCCACCCTAGAACCTGGCGCCATTTGTTTATATTCTTTTCCTAAGAATGAACTGGGGACTTCCTAAACCTATTTTCTCTACTACTCCATTCTTGTGGAATGAGATGTAGACTATACTTCCATGTACAGTCCTAGGAAAGCTACCTCTATCCCAGACGACCTTGCATAGGCCTTACCAGTCCTGGGTGTTCGGCTTCCTGAAGCTGAGATGGAGTGAGGCAGAGTCTAACTGATCACCTGTTCAGTTCCTGGGAATGCTTTGTTCAAGTATAACCTGGAAATAATTATTTGTTGTTTCTTTACAAAGTTACATGCTCACAGTTTTAAAAAATTAAAGGAAAATAATAAGCACCTGTGCTGTTTCAAATAAAATGTTAATATTGAGATCAGACTTCAAAATTTGGAAGTAATGTCCAAAAAATTGTAAGACTGGAAAGGTTAGTGGCTGAAAACTACTCAGTAGTGCTGCAGAAGAAAAGCCTGGTATCTACTTCCATAAGATTAAACCAAACCAAACCCATTGCCATTAAGTCGAATCTAGCTGATAGTGATCCTATAGGACAGAGTAGAACTGCGCCATAGGGTTTCCAGGGCTGTAAATCTTTATGGAAACAGACTGCCACATCTTTCTCCCATGGAGCAGCTGGTAGGTTCAAACCACCAAACTTCTGGTTAGCAGCTGAGCGCTTAACCACTGTGCCACCAGGGCTCCTTCCATAAGATTGCAGCCACTGAAAACCCTATGGAGCACTATTCTATTCTGATATACGTGAGGTGGCCATGAGTTATGGGTTTGGTTTTGGTGGGGGGAGGGTTATTTTTACCATAATAATAACAATGGCATGATATCTCAATGGATTCTAATTTGTTTTGTAGCACAGGTCCACAGTCCCTTATCTGAAATCCTAGAAACTGAAAACTGAAAAAACATTTGAAGTTTGTCACAGGCAACAAAACCTGATTTGAATTCATGTGAGATTCTTTATAGTTTTTATCCCACTTAGTGTGAATACTCATGTTTTGCTGCAGAGATATTAATTTGTTTGGTTACTTCCCCAAACTCCAAAGAGGATATTATATAATATATGGTATATGCACCATATTACTTGTCTAAAACACTTCTGGCCCAAAAAGTTTCTGATTAGGAATTATGGATCTATAGTACTATTTCGGAGCCCTGTTGGTGCAGTGGTTAAAAGCTCAGCTGCCAACGAGAAGGTCAGCAGTTCGAATCCACCAGCTGCCCCTTGGAAACCCTATGGGGCATTTCTACTCTGTCCTATAGGGTGGCTATGAGTCGGACTCCCCTCAAAGGCAATGAGTATACGAGTATAGTGCTATTTTGCCCCTTATGTTTTTTGTTTTATTTTTCAGTTAATAACTCCTACAAATTAAGCAAGCACAAACCTTACACAAGCTTTTCCCCCATGGTAACTGCCCCCAGTATGGTCTATAGTTTGGAAAATATTCAGTATTATTTTCTGATACAATATATAATACCTTAAGCCTTTGGAAGGAAAACAACAACAACATTCATTTAATAAATGATAGCGAGTAACATATTGAGCCTAATTCTCCTATTCTCCACTAGTTTACCATGGAGGAGGAGGAAGTATCTTTTATCATCATACGTGGGAACAGAGTGGTCACGTGTGAAGCCCATTTCACTTTGTCCTGAGTATGTAGGGCTGCGCTTATACCCTCTTGAAGAATAACGGAAGCCTCCAAAAGCAATTTCACACCTTTTCTGAATGCGGGGAATTTAGAATTAATAGTTATATGACTTCTGCTAGTTTAGAAAAAGGCTTTTCTACTGTTCTTTTCTCAAGAAGCATATTCTTCCTCAGGATCAAAGCAAGGAGAAATATATCAGATATTTAGTTTTTTACTCTCTAGCTTAACTTTTGTAGTTGCCAGCCTCCAGGAAAGCCCCTAGTGACTCTCACCTCCAGGTGTTCACACCTTTGTGATGGTGTTGTTGTTTTTAGCATAGCAACCTTATATATAATAGAATAAAATGTTGCCTGATACTATGCCATCTTCATGACTGTTGGTATGTTTGAGTCCACTGTTGTGGCTATTGTGTGAGTCAGTCTCATGGAGGGTTTTCCTTGTGTTCACTGACCCTCTACTTTACCAGCCATGATGTCCTTTTTTAGTGATTGGTCTTTCTCGATGACGTGTCCAAAGTAAGCAAGCCAAAGTTTTGCCATCTTCATGTCTAAGGAGCATTCTGGTTGTATTTCTTCTAAGTCTGATTTGTTCGTTCTTCTGGCAGTCCACAATATATTCAGTATTCTTCGCTAGCACCAAAATTCAAATGTATCTGTTCTTCGGTCTTCCCTTTTCATTGTCCAATTTCACATGCAATATAAGGTGTTTGAAAAGACCCTGGCTTGGGTCAGTTGCACCTTATCACCAAAGTAACATCTTTGCTTTTTAAAACTATAAAGAGGTCTTGTGCAGCAGATTTACCCAGTGTAATACATCATTTGATTTCTTGACTGGTACTTCCATGGACATTGATTGTTGATCCAGGTAGAATGAAATCATTGACAACTTCTTCATTTTAGTCCCTTTCATATTGAATGGGATTGACCTATGTAACCAGTAGGATTTTGTGGAAATGACAAATTATGACTTCTGAGGTTAGATTATAAAAGACATTGCGGTTACTGCCTTGCCCTGTCTTGGATCACGTGCTCTTGAAGAAGCCAACATCATGTAATGAGGACAACACTATGGAAGGGTCCATATAGCAAGGAGCTGAGACTTTCTGCCAGCAACTAGCACTAAACTGCCGAGCATTGAGTGAGCCTCCTTGAAAGTGGATCCTTCAGTCCTTGGGAAGCCTTCAGATGCTGCAGCCCCAGTCAGCATCTTGAATTCAGCTTCACAAGAGCGGCCAGCCAGGACCACCCAGCTAAGCCGTTCTTGGGTTCCTGACCCACAGAAACTGTGTGAGATAAGTATTTGCTTTAAGCCACTAAAATTTGGGTTATTTGTTACCCACCAGTAGATACCAATATATTTGGAACTTTGATTCAAAGAAAAAACATTGGTTTCTCTGATTACAGAAGTACTACATGCAAAGTTCAAACATATATACAATCTGGAGCATGAAAAATTTCTATAAGGTCATCTCCTTTGTACATGTGTGGCACATAGTTCCATATTTTCTCTATGTGAATACTAATCCATGTATGCATACATACACACACACACGTGTTTGATTATTTTGTTAATAGACACTGGATCATATTAGATATACTGTTCTGCAACTTGTATAGTTTAACAGCGTATCTGGGAACATTTTCCACGGAAAGTCATATTAATCTATGGCATTTGTTATCATATTTCTAATTATTGTATGGACTTCTCCAATGCCTACTGAGGGACATTAGGGCTGTTTCCAGTTTCTCCAAATACAAACAGTAAAACAGTGGATAAGCATGTGAGTAAATCTCTGGGATATATTACTGGAAGCAGAAATGCCAGATTTTAAAACACATTTTAAATTCTGATAGATATTTTCAAATTGCTCTCCCAAAAGATTGTAGCAATATATTTGTGAGTGTCTTTTCCTCTACACCTTCAACAACACTGGGTATCCACAATCTTTGCCAATCAAGTAGTTGAAAAGTGACTGGTTGTTTTATTTTGTGTTTAATTGTTAACCATGTTTTCATATATTTATTGGTTGTTTGTGTTTCTTCTGTTTGGAATTACCTGTCCATCTCCTTTGCCAATTTTGATGCCAGGTTATTTGTCTTTTATATATATCTATTTGTAATAACTCTTCGTATATCAGTATTTTAGCCTTTGCTTAAAACATATTATATAAAAATTATCCCAAATTTATTGTCAAAACTGGTTTGAACATTTTTTTAAATCATATTTAGGAAATTTTCTGTTACAACTCAATGATGTGAGTAATATATGAGCCAGGCATGAAATAGGCTTTATAACTCTAATTTAAAAGTGGTTAGAATTAAAATGAAAAATAAACAAGACTCCAACAGATACTTCTACACCAGTGTTCACTGCAACATTATTCACAATAGATGAAAGGTGGAAACAACCCTAGTGTCCATCAACAGATGAATGGATAAATAAAATGTGGTATGTAACATACAATGGAGTATTATTTGGCCATAAAAACAAATGAAATTCTGATGCAGATTATGACATGGATGAGTCTTGAAAACATGCTCTGTGAAATTAGTCAGACGTAAAAGGACAAATATTGTATGATCGCACTTAAACATGAAATATCTAGAATAGGCAAATGCATGAAGACAAAAGTTTATTAGTTGATACCAGGTGTTAGGGGGAGGAGGTAATGAGAGTTATTGCCGAAGGAGCATTGAGTTTTTGTTTCGGTGATGTAAAACTTTTGGAAATGAATAGTGGTGATAGTAGCACCATATGGTGAATGTAATTAATGTCACAATTATATACTAAAAAAATGGTTACAATGGCAAAACTTTGTTTCATATATTTCACCACAATAAAATTTAAAAAGCAAACAAACAAGCATTTCCTCTTTCTACAAATGTTAATTGTTACTATGTTTAACTTTGGTGCCCAGTTGATTTGGATTTTTACTATTTCTTTCTAGTATACCACTGACCGAATTCCAAGAAGCCGTGAGGTGCGGCAGTCCTGGCTCTCCACTGTGCTCACCACGTTGTACTCCATGCTGTACTCCTTCCCGCTGACTTTCAGACTGAAGCCAGATTTGGTATGTAAGACCATCACTAAAGAGAGGGAAGGATCCTTCCTAGGGATCCTTTATTAGTGACAGTATATATTGTTTTCTTTAATAGCTACCATTTATCAGTGTGCCAGGTATTGTACTAGATACTTTATGAATAGGTAGTCCCCAACTTACAACTGGGTTCTGTTCCTATGACTCCATCATAAGTCAATTCTGACATAAGTCGAATACCTCATTTTTTGTTTTTTTCAGTTTTCATTATTATTGCCTTTTAGTATCAGTATCTTTATAAATCCAATCTTTATTTGTCTTTAGGGGTTGGAAACATTACATATAAACTTACACATCTGATGACATCAAATTATGTGCTGCAACAGTGTGTGTAGTTATACTGCTAACAATAAGACGTACAAAAAAAAGGACGGTTGTAAGTGTGGTTCATCATAACTTGAATACTTGTAAGTCGGGGACTACCAGTGTGTTACAAAATTATCCTTTGAATGCACTTTGCTGTAAAAGGTGAGATATTTGCCTTCCCTTCCAAGCTATAACATGAGCTCCAAATTTGTCCCTTTCTCCCCTTTGTTTGGTGGCAATAAGTACTAATACTGCCATATTTTTAACCAATTTGTGCACCATTCCACCCATAGGCCCTGAGCTGACATTGTGTGTTCATCAGCCAGAGAAGAGACAATTCTTCATACCTTTTCAGTGATCTTTTTTGTTTTTGTCAAGTCTGTTTACCAAGTACGGCATGCAGTGGGCAGAACATTACACACACTTAGATTTTAACAGGAAAGTGTAGTACAGAGAAGAGAAATGTGAAGACTTAGTGGACTCTATGTACTTTCCTTCCTTATCTGTAAAGGTTTTAAGTTCTCTGTAGTCTTTAAGAATGAATTTCTCTTATTAAATTCCAAACGTACTGCTGGTGGCAATGCAGGTCAGTGGATATGTTATCACAGTCGTATATACAACTCTTAAATAATACTCTCATTCCTATTTAAGGCAGAATCCCTTAAATAGCATAGCTTGAAAGGAAACTCTACTTCCTTTCCAAATTCATGAGTTCTGGCACAGTGTATGTTACCCTCATGAATAGTTGAACAGAAATGAGTTTAGGCACAGTGATTTTGAAAGGTCTCTTACCAGTTTGCTTATTGCCTTTCATCAACTGGATTGCAGTCCAAGTCCCTCTTTTGGATGAGAATTTTAAAATCTGGATTTTCTACATGAGTAGTTTAGATTGTTTTTAACAGATATAATTTGCATACAGTGAAATGCACAAATCTTATCATTTGGCCCACATCTCCCTATCAAAATACATAACATTTCCATCACCCTAAAAGTTTTCTCCTGCCCCCTGCCCTTGCCCCCAAGCAACCACATTCTGATTTATGTCACCATGGATTAATTTAGCTTAAATTTCTTTTGAAATTTTTGACAAAATAAGCTTATCTTACAGTACTGCAGTCACCTTTTTAGTGTATAGAACTCAGATGTTTCCCTGAAAGGTCATTATTGCCCTGAAGAGCTTTAACTTATTTACTTCTAAAATACAAGAGACAAATAGAAGGGTAACTTAAGCATATGTCTTAGTTATATAGTGCTGCTGTAACAGAAATTCCACAAGTGGGTGGCTTTAACAAACAGAAATTCGCTTTTTCAAAGTTAGGAGGCTAGCAGTCGAAAATCAGAGCCCCAGCCCTAGGGGAAGGCTTTCTCTCTCATTTGGCTCTGGGGGAAGGTCCTTGTTCCTTGGTTCCTTGGAGATCTTCATGTGGTGTGGCATCTGTCTTCTCCCATCTGTTTCCTTGTTTAGTCTGCTGTTTTTATATCTTAAAAGAGTGATTTAAGACACACCCTGCACTAATACTGCCTCATTAACATAACAGAACGCATTCCCAAATGGGATTATCGTCACAAGTATAGGGGTTAGGATTTACAGCAGATATTTCTGGGGGACACAATTCAATCCATAACAGCTTTTTAAACTGGAAATGTTGGGCTTACATTTATTAAATCACTAGAGAGACCTGGCCACTCTGACTGGCGACAGCTTGTTTGAGTGTGGCAAAGTAGGACTTTAAGATGTTGAGGCTTAGAAGGAAATCCTGACGCGATGGATGATGTCTGCCTGGCTTAAGTATTTGATATCCTTGGTAGTGGAAAGAGTAACCAACTGGGCACAGGACCCTTGGTTCCAGTCCCACTCTTGCTTTTATTTTATTTTAGTCACTTCCTTTCTGGGCCTCAATTTTCCACCTTAAAACAAGAGGATTGGGGTAGATGTTCTCTCTGTTTTCAACTTGGTCTAAAATTTTATGAGCATCATAAATTTGCTCATAAAAAGTGGAAGAAAAAACTATTACGATGTTTCTAAAGGAACAAGAGGAGAAAGGTGGGGAGGATGTGAAATAATTATTTCCATTTTAAACTAAGTAAGTTTAAAAAAAAATATTTCAAACCTGAACATTATCTGATCAGCTACTTTTATAAGGTTGACTTCACAAAATGAACTCCTACTTAATGAAAATTCCTTTTTTAAGAGAAAAAAGTTAATGGTCAAGAGGCCTTTTTTTTACTACAATGAAAGCAAAATTACAACATGCAAATCTCTCCTGTTTTCACCATTGACTTTTTTAACACTTTTATCACAAAACAGTATTCCATCTTTACTTCTTTGAAAAAGTGAAAGAAGAGCCTACTCTTAGAAAGGATAGCAGTGTCAGGACTGAAATCACCTGAGTTGTCTGAACAGCCAGGTGCCTTTCTTCTTCCTTTTAACTGTGCGCACCTAAGTTAGTAAGTCTGCTCATCTATCCAACTGTCTCTGTCCCTCACTTTGTCATCTGTAAAATATAAATAAAGGTAATTTCCTTATTGTTCTGGAGTGAGTGCTAGATAATTGAACATTTTAATGGTTTTGAAATGGAAAATCTGTGTTGCACATTATTATTATTATTAGGTGCCGTTGAGGTGGTTCCAACTCGTAGCGACCCTATGTGCAACGGAACTGAACACTGCCTGGTCCTATATCATCCTCACAATCACTGTTATACTTGAGACTATTGTTGCAGCCACTGTGACGATCCATTTTGTTGAATGTCTTCCTCTTTTTGCTGACCAAGCAAGATGTCCTTCTCCAAGGACTGGTCACTCCTGATAATATGTCCAAAGTTAGTGAGACGAAGTCTCACCATCCTTGCTTCCAACGAGCATTCCGCTTGTACTTCTTGCAAGACAGATTTGTTCGTTCTTCTGGCAGTCTGTGGTATATTCAATATTCTTCACCAACACCACAATTCAAAGGCATCAATTCTTCTTCAGTCTTCCTTAGTACATTGTCCAGCTTTCGCATGCTTGTGAGGCGGATGAAGATACCACGGCTTGGGTTGGCAAACCTTAGTCCTCAGAATGACATCTTTGCTTCTTAACACTATAGAGAGGTCTTTTGCAGCAGATTTGCCCAGTGCAATACATCCTTTGATTTCTTGACTGCTGCTTCCATGGGCATTGATTGTGAATCCAAGTAAAATGAAATCCTTGACAGCTTCAGTCTTTTCTCCGCTTGTCATACTGTTGCTTATTGGTCCGGTTGTGAGGATTTTTGTTTTCTTTTTGTTGAAATGTAATCCATGCTGAAGGCTGTGGTCTCTGATCTTCATCAGTTAGTGCTTCAAGTCCTCTTCACTTTCAGCAAACAAGTTTGTGTCATCTGCGTATCGCAAGTTGCTTATGAGTCTTTCTCCAATCCTGATGACTCCTTCTTCTTCATATAGTCCAGCTTCTCGGATTACTTGCTCACCATACAGATTGAATAAGTATGATGAAAGGATACAACCCTGACACACACCTTTCCTGACTTTAAACCACACAGTATCCCCTTGTTCTGTTCTAATGGCTGTCTCTTGGTCTATGTGCAGGTTCTGCATGAGCACAATTAAGTGTTCTGGAATTCCCATTCTTTGCAATGTTATCCATAATTTGTTATGTTCCACACAGTCGAATGCCTTAACATAGTCAGTAAAACACAGGTAAACATTTTTCTGGCATTTTCTGCTTTCAGCCAAGATCCATCTGACATCATCCATGGTATCCCTTGTTCCACATGCTCTTCTGAATCCAGCTTAAATTTCTGGTAGTTCCCTGTCGATGTACTGCTGCAACTGCTTTTGAATGATTTTCAGCATAATTTTACTTGTGTGTGATATTAATGATAATGTTCGATAATTTCCACATTCTTTTGGGTCACCTTTCTTTGTAATGGGTACAAACATGGATCTCTTCCAGTCTGTTGGCCAGGAAGCTGTTCTACAAATTTCTTTACATAGACAAGTGAGCACCTCTAGCTGAAACATCTCAGTTGGTATTCTGTCAATTCCTGGAGGCTTGTTTTTTGCCAGTGCCTTCAGTGCAGCTTGGACCTCTTCCTTCAGTACCATCTGTTCTTGATCATATACTACCTCCTGAAATGGTTGAACATCAACCAGTTCTTTTTGGTACAGTGACTCTGTGTCTTCCTTCCATCTTCCTTTGATGCTTCCTGCTTCGTTCAATATTTTCCCTGTAGAATCCTTCAGTATTGCAACTCAACTCCTGAATTTTTTCTTCAATTCTTTCAGCTTGAGAAATGCTGAGCGTGTTCTTCCCTTTCAGTTTTCTAACTCCAGGTCTTTGCACATTTCATTACAATAATTTACTTTGTGTTCTCAAGCTGCCCTTTGAAATCTTCTGTTCAGTTCTTTTACTTCATCATTTCTTCCTTTCACTGTAGCTATTCTATGTTCAAAAGCAAGCTTCAGAGTCTCTTCTGACATCCATTTTAGTCTTTTTTTTTTCCTGTTTTTTTTAATGATCTCTTGCTTTCTTCTTGTATGATGTCCTTGATGTCATTCCACAACTCGTCAGGTCTTCAGTCATTAGTGTTCAATGTGTCAAATCTTTTCCTGAGATGGTCTCTAAATTCAGGTGGAATATACTCAAGATCGTACGTTTGGCTCTTGTGAACTTGTTCTGATTTT